TTGACCATGGCTGGCAATTGGCCACAGGTGAGGGCGACCCTCGCCGACCACACACGAGTGTCGCCCTCACCGGATCTGACAAGGGCTTGGCTCTTGCGGCCTGGGCGAGGGTCGCGCTCGTCGAATCTATCAAGGGCCACCTTCGTCGGATCTCGCGAGTGCTCGACCCTTGCGGCCTGGGCAAGGGCTTGACCCTCACGGCCTAGGCAAGTGCGAGGGCGAAAAATCAATGAGTGGACTGACGATAGAGGAGGAGCCATCGATGAAGAAGCAATCGGACAGTCGGTGGTGTTGAAGGCATTGGTGGAGTTGGTGGTGGAGCCGTAGTCGATATGGAACGAAATGTTGCCTGCGCAAAGAAGAAGAAGAAGAAGAAGAAGAAGAAGAAGCATATAGGAGGAGGAGGAGGAGGCGAGAGGGAGAGAGAGGAGGAGGAAGATAGAGATGAAGAAACAAAATCTAAAACGTGGGTCCCATACCGGCACGTGGCGATTAATGAATGAAGTGTTTTATCACCTACGTGGCAAGACTAGTCTACTAGTAGACCCCCGCATTGTTTAACCATTGTGTTTTCCAACACTTTCCCTTCCATATAAGCTAGAGTTTACATATGTAATACATATCAAGAACATTGGACCTGAACATGTTCTTAAAAGGGTCAATGAGAGACGGGGGAAGTAACTCTCTAGTATGGTGGAGGGATCTCCTTGTAAGCTTTTTCCGTATTCTAATACTCTTCCTGGGAGAAAAATAATCAGTGGAGAGGGATAGGGGGTTGCCCGGTCTAATCATCGTGTTTAACTATCATGTTTTCCAACACTTTCCCTTCCAGTTTACATATGTAACACAGATCAAGAACACAACCCTACAAAGCAGACAAACTCCGTGCAGCAATACAATCACACGAGGACAATTCTACTCTAGAAGACGCCCTGAATTCACATAATGAAAGTTGCACATTGGCGTAGTGGAGAGACAAGGAAAAACTTTCTTGAATTATTGATTAACTAAAAGAGGCAACATATTTTACAAGTTATAAAGATAATCTGTATGAGTGAAACCTTAATGAAACCCTAATGATGATAAAATATGACCTAAAGGAACAACACATCAAATCTGAAAAAATAAATAAATGCTCCATCTAATGAATATAATGACTAAGGGTCCATTTATTTCGCAGAAAATGTACAATATCTGGAACGTATTTTCTAGGAAGTCATTTACCAGGAAAGTAACTTCATTCTCTGATGTTTGGCTAAAACCTAAAACTAAATCTGGCAAGTATTTTAAGTTGGGTGCCAGAGCATCAGGTACGGGCACTAGGTGTTCGGGCTAGCCTCGATGGACCCAGGTGTGGGCACCGGGGGCCCAGGCCCAAGCCCGGTTTCAATGGACCTGGTCCCGACCGCTGGAGACTTGGTCCTCAACGCCAAGAACCAACATTGGAGTTTCCGTGCCCAAATGTAGAGTTTCAAGTCTAAGTGCCGATACCCAGTCATATTTCGGAAAACGTTTTCCGATTCTTTCAAAGAGGAAATCATTTTCTTGAATTTAAGTTTTGGTAAGAAAACCTTTTTCTGTTGACTAGGAAAATATTTTTCATTAACTCATTTTCATAAACAGACCAAACACCATAAAATGAGGAAAATGCTTTCCGGAAAATGTTTTTTGCGAAACAAAGGGACCCTAAGTCTAAAAAGTGGCATGAAACATAAAGAAAGTATGGACTTGTAGGATGGAAACAATCTCAAACGATTTTTCAGCCGAGGACAATGTTAGGCTCAAAACGAGCTCTCTAACAACATACTATAAATCTGGTAACTCCAACCAGATCAAAACTATTTGGTAAACATAATTTTAAATATGTCTATTCTAGTTTTTTTCATTGTTGTCAATAATTTATAAATATATAATATCCGGGTTTGTTACCAATCGATCGTGGAAAAATACAAAGTAAAAACAGTTGTCAAATTGGACATGTAAAAGAAGACCAGAAAATTTAAACTTGATCACTTAAGTGTTAACTTGGATTTGGATCGCCGAAAATCTGACATGACCATATTTATTAATTCCTCAACCTGACATGGCTTGCCGGTGTACTTAGTCTGGATATATATCCCTAAACGACGTTGTCCATATGTTTTGCCCCAAATTAGAAACCCTAATACGATTTTTCCCCATAACCACACTTTTCACCTCCAAAATGGCAGGAATTCCCAAGCACTGAATCTCATTGGGGACTTCAATCAATCTGATTAATCATCTGCACGCTAAAAAATCCCGACTTGATCACTCCCTAACTGGAAGACCCTCCTTCATGTCGACTTCAGACAACAAAGATGAGAGCATGGCTAATTTCCTCGAGTTCGAGATCCTCTCCGAGGTAAAATCCAACCCTCATTCAATTCAACTCATCTCAATTTTCAATTTTTGTCCTCAATTTTGATTTATAAAGTAATTCGATCCGATCTCCATTCTTTTTCCCCAGGAAAGCGTTGATGCCACTGAGCTGGAAGCAAAACGGCAACGCTTGAGAGGAGAAGAAGTGCAGGAGAAGAGATAAGGCGATGGCAGAAGTAATGGCAAAAATGCGGCCTCGCCAGCAACTTCGTTGTCGCGGGTGGTGATAATCTGATTAGGCGCTTAGAGAGGAGAGGCGAGAGAGAGAGAGGGAGGAAATTGGAGGAAAGAGAGAGGAAAGGGAGAGAGAACGAGAGAGATAGAGATAAATAACATTTTAATTAGAAAAAAATTTTTGTGATTTATTTCTAGAGGCATTTAAGTGATCGTATTTTCTCCGATTTAGCATTTAAGTGAGCATGCAAAAAATTTTGGCACTAAAGTGAGCGCCGCATAAAACTTTTGATATTTACTTTTGGGAAATGTTCATTAGAAGTCCTAAAACTTGTTACGAAAGTGCAATTAAGTCCTAAAACTTGCAAAAAGTGCAATCAAGTTCTAAAACTTGTCAAATTGATTCAAATGAGTCCTAAAATTAACACCGTCAAATTTACTAACGGAAAATGCTGACGTGGCTCTGACATGGCTTATTTTAATATTTTCTCTCTCCTACTTGGCTAAAATGACGTCGTTTTTGCCCAAATTTGATTTTTAATACTAATTTTATTTAAATTAAATATAAAAATAAGCAAAATTAAAAATAATTTAAAAAAAAGGGTGGAAGATAGTCGAGGAGGGAGGGCTTGCCCCACCATCGCCCCAGTGGGAGAGGGGCTGCGGAGCTCTCAACGGCATTGGCAAGGGTCGTCGGCCCCCGGCCGAGTCCACTTGTGACCCTTGCTTGCTTGTCCCCCACCCTCGCCGGCCCATCCCGGTGATGGTGGGGCGGCGGCGGCGGTGGGGAGGGCAAGCCCTCCCTCCCCGCCCGTCCTCCTCCTCCTCCACTTTTTTTTAAAAATTTTAAAATTTAGCTTATTTTTTTTTAAATATAATTAAAATAAAAGTAAAATTAAAATAATAATAAGCCATGTTAGCATTTTCCATTAGTCAAATTGGACGGTGTTAATTTTAGGATTCGATTGAACCAATATGACAAGTTTTAGGACTTGATTATACTTTTTACAAGTTTTAGAACTCAATTGCACTTTCATAATAAATTTTAGGACTTATAGTGAATATATCTCTTTACTTTTCGTATTCTTACGCCCCCCATTATATATTGGCCAATTGTGTGTACGGAGATTTTGGCTAATTGATTATATATTTTTGTGGTGGGGCCCTTGATGTGATGATATCTCAACAGGAGCAAACATTCTTGTGTAATCCGAAAGGGAAAGAAAGCGAACGTAGTGGGTGGTGACTAATGAAAGAGGTCGGGGCGAGCCGGTCGGGCCGGCCGAAGATCGAAGACGTGGTCGTATGATCGAAAAGTTGGAGGGTGAGTGAGCCAATTTTTGGGGGCTTTTCTTCAACTCTTTCCGGAGCTGAATCGTATGTGACATGGAGGTCAAGCTCAATTCTCATTGGGAGTGAGGTTAAAAAGCTTTGCCTTCTTCCCCCAACTGACCTTTCGTTTTGATAATTTCTACGCGAGATGATTGGTTAGTCGCTCTCGTTCTCTAATTTAGCCGAAGTTTTTATGTTGGTACTTTGCGACGATAGGTACCTCTGCGATTGATTTAGTTTGACCATACGGGACTAATTAGTTCCCGTTCACGATCACGAAACGTTGATGATTGGCCGACCCGGTCTTTAGCTTTACGATTAGTGTCTTGGGATCCGTCGTTCATCCGGTATTGTGAAACTCCGCGTGTTTGTCGTATGCTTTATCCTCAAGAATTTGCTATTTGTGATATTGAGTGCCTAATCCTTTTAAAGCGCTCGATTAATTTCAAGCGAGTTTTTGAGAAAATCACAAAGCGGCTAGCTAGTAAATAAGAGTGCCTGATGGATGGTCATATTTGGCTTCAAGCGAGGCAATCATACGACGATTCGGAAGGATTTCATTTTCCTCCAATGAATAAAAGTCCAATCCTACGCATTTTCCTTATATTTTAGAAAGTTTCAATTTTTGGAAAAATCTCATCCTGCGTGAAACGTGTGATAAAATTAAAACCCAGTATGAATAAAAAGGACACATTGGTGCACTTGGTCTTTGTTCTTCTAATTTTCTTCTCTCAACATGTCTTGGACCCAAAAAAAAGAAACACCATCTTTTTATCTTGCTCCCTTTGCCTCCTTACGTAAGACAAAGGGAATATGACACTAATCCAAATAACCCAAAATGCAAGGGCATAACTGCAAAGGCATGACATTATTGAGAGGAATGATTGGGACCTTCTCGAGTGGCTATAAATATAAAGCCAAACTTATGGTCCGGCAAAGACATCTTAAGTCCTTAATTATAACATCAAATCTCGATCCCTTCCAACAAACACTGTCTCATGCTTCATCTCCATCCTCCCTCCACGCCCTTTTATATCTATTAATACACACCCCTAACACAAACACCTGACAGCACTTCTCTCAACATCGTCTCACATAATATTCCTTAATGGCTATGGCCATGGCCATCGACGACGCACCGGAGCTCGACTTCTCGGCTTATAGCACCTCCCCCACCACCACCACGACCACCACGACAGACGATGAATATGGCTGCAACTGGAATGATTGGTCGCCGGTGGTTGATTGGAACGCTCTCTCCGGCGGCCAAGATGATTTTCAGGACCTAATTGAGTCCATGATAGATGAGAGTGGGCTTCAACCAGCTCGTTCCGGGGTGAATTACCAGGAGGGAAGTAACTCTCCATCCACCGACACGACCATGTTCACCGACGAGGAAGCCAGCAGAGATGACTCGAAAGGGTTGAGGCTGGTTCACTTGTTGATGGCAGCCGCAGAGGCCCTGACCGGAGTGAACAAATGCCATGAACTGGCTCGGGTGATATTGGTTCGGCTCAAGGAGTTGGTGTCCCCAACTGATGGAACTAACATGGAGAGGTAAACAACTTAACTAGCTAATATGAGTATTAAATTCAGATTAATATGTAATTATGTACAGTCGTCTTCCAATCTCAATCACACTCCCATGAAATTTGTTCTCTGTTTACTAATCTACGGTGGTCCTGTTAAATTTGAAAAAAACATTGTACTTGTCATAGATGAAATAATGTTGCTTATTAATGATAAAAAACCTTAGCATTGACGTAAAAGTTTTGTTATTTAATCGACAGATTGGCAGCTCATTTCACGGAGGCCCTACAAGGATTGCTTGAAGGTGCCGGTGGCGGTCATGGCAAGCACCTAATAAGCAGTGGCCCCCAACGCGACGACCACCACCATCACCACCAAACGGATGTTCTAGCCGCTTTTCAACTAATGCAAGACTTGTCGCCGTACGTCAAGTTTGGGCACTTCACCGCGAATCAGGCTATTCTAGAAGCCGTCACTCAGCACCGGCGAGTCCATATCGTGGACTATGATATCATGGAGGGGATCCAATGGGCGTCGCTCATGCAAGCTCTGGTCTCAAGGAAGGACGGTCCACCTTCCCCACATCTCAGGATCACGGCCTTGTCGAGAGGTGGAAACGGTCGCCGCTCGATCGGGACCATCCAAGAGACGGGCCGTCGCCTGACCGCATTTGCCGCATCAATTGGTCAGCCATTTTCGTTTCACCAATGTAGGTTGGACTCGGACGAAACATTTCGTCCATCCTCCCTTAAGTTAGTGAGGGGTGAGGCATTGATATTCAACTGCATGCTGCACCTTCCTCACTTCTGTTACCGGGCACCCGAGTCCGTGGCTTCCTTCTTATCCGGAGCCAAGACGCTGAACCCTAGACTCGTGACTCTGGTGGAGGAAGAATTGGGGCCGATCGGAGACCAAGGGTTCGTGAGCCGATTCATAGACTCCCTGCATCACTACTCTGCCCTGTATGACTCGCTCGAGGCAGGGTTTCCGATGCAGTGCCGGGCTCGAGCTCTGGTGGAGAGGGTTTTCCTGGGGCCCCGGATAGTCGGGTCGTTGGCTCGGATATACCGGACGTGCGGCGATAAGGAGGGCGGCTCGTGGCGGGAGTGGTTAGGTGCAACGGGGTTCAGGCCTGTGGACATAAGCTTTGCCAATCATTGCCAGGCCAAGCTCTTGTTGGGGCTATTCAATGATGGGTACAGGGTGGAGGAGTTGGCCAGCAACAGGCTCGTCCTGGGATGGAAATCTCGTCGTCTGCTCTCAGCCTCCATTTGGACTTCGCCCTTCGATTCTGATTCGTCGATCTCTTAATTTACTTTAGTTTCAAGTGTTTCTTAGGTCAATAATTTTTTCCCTTGTGAGACCAAATGATGTGACCGACCAAGTTTTTTAATTTGGGGTTCCCAAATAAATGCGGCTCTACTTGCAGCTTCTTGATTTTCATCCCGATGTATTTTTGTGTTGCCACCGGTTAATTTTGTCAACGATGTGGTTGATATTACCATCTATTGTCACTCCATCGACATACAAATTCATATGACCGTACCTCTTGCATTGTTTTGGCACGATTGGTCTTGAACTACACCAAACTACACTTGAAGATCTTCCACATTTGGGATTATAAGTACGAGTCAGCTGACTAATTATTAGTCAAGAGATCCTGCAGTCAACGAGAAGGAACACAAAAATCCACTCTCATGTTATGTCCGAATGTGCCCAAGGTTATGGATCATTGTCTCTCTAAAATCTCTTGGGTTGTAGAGAACAAAGCTAGTTTAGCTAGCTCTCAATCAAGGAGAACTTGAGGTGCGTTGAATGAAAAAATAGGTTATGCTTTGTGAACGCTTATCATGAAGAGCCACTATATGATTTAACGTACTCGAGGATGAAAGATCAATGTCAAATTTCGTAATACTCATGAATCACGTTCCCCACACACTTCTGACAATGATCTATAGTAAAGTAATTTCCTTTTTTTTTTCTCGGACTCGAATCGACAAGGAATCACTTATGATCTTGTTGCTATGAATCTTCGAATTCTAACCTAACGAAATAATGTGGATCGATTAGGACGAGGCTGAATTTGGAGATCTTTTTCTTAATGGAGTCGAGTATGCTTCCCACTCTTGTCACAACTAACCCTAATCCAACGTGATTTTCGATATTTCGAATCGTTCTTCAACTCGTACATTTCCTTCTAATCCAATCGTAAATGAAAGCAATTTATTCATCTCGATGTTCATTTCCAATTGTGGGTTGTCATTTGCAGCTAGCAAACCATAGATTAATATGAGAGAGAGAGAGAGAGAGAGAGAGAGAGAGAGAGAGAGAGAGAGAGAGAGAGAGAGAGAGAGAGAGAGAGAGAGAACTTGCTGGTTGTTTGCAAATCACAGTCGTCTTCCATGTGAATGTCTCATTTCTTTAAGGACGAATCACCAATAACATTGGGAGATTCCTCGGAATGTTCTTCCCAATCCTATAAACTATTCCCGGACTTCGCTAAAATATGCTCATTGAAACTTGGCTCTTCTCAACTTGAGGACCATTTTTTGTTACGACATGCTCAAGGGGGTCTCACTTCTAGACGATCCTCTCCTCCGAGAAGATCGTTCTTTGGCCCCTAAACTCCATATTAAACTATCATGTGTGCAATAAATTAAGCAAAGCGTGCCTTAATCGCTCCAAAAATGACCATGTTGGTGGGCATTTGTTTATGTCTACCTGCAGCATTATTATATGCACGGGCACGTCATAACTTTTCGCACTTGGTGGGCTGACGATTAGAGGTAGAAAGAAAACCTGAAGCACGTCATATACCTGAAGAAACTCATTAAAAGAATTACAAGATGCGGCTCTTTTCGGTGCATTATTTTACAATGATATGTGATCGGCTTTTCCAGTGCGTTGCTTGTTTTATTGGCTCCGTTTGTATCCCTTCGGATGGGGCTTTGGCATTTGACAGAGTCCCAGTTGGAGCAGAAGATGTCTGGGGGCTACAATTATGCTCCTCTTGCCATTGGGTAACCTGCGGAATCGAATATGAATGGAGGAACTGGTGAGGACTGAGCATTGAGGTTGGTTTTGGATCTTGAGGACATGTTTGGTAGGTGCCGGTGCTAAAATCGACCTAGGGCAAATCTGACAGTCAGGCGATTGGGAAAACAAACGAAAATCTGATTTTGTGGTTATAACCCGACCAAACTAGTGATTGGACATTTCACGAAACTAAGTTTTTCAAAGATAGATCGGATAGTGTGCGCCTGTGCATGAGGAGCGTCGGCTTTTGCTAATTCGACCAAAATGACAAGAAAGGTAAAGTGCAAGAGCTGGAAATTAAGATGAAGTTAATCAAGGGCAGCGAGGGAAGTAGGAAAAATAAATGCGAAGAATGCGAAAATAATGGGAAATCAACGTGTAAAGACTAGAGACAAAATGCACATGCTTTCTTCCTTTAACCGCTCTCACGTCTCGATGATTTTCTCCATTTCCCGGGATAGCAACTTTTTTGCCCTCGCGCATCCCTCTTGGTGTTCCTCCTCTTCTTGAATTCAAGCCTGTCGAAGTTCCTTCTCTTATAATTCTGGTCGGAGCGACTCTTAGTAGACATCAAGTTGAGCTCGAACTCAATATGACTTGTTACTTCTTTATTTTGCCCTGTCTCGTTCGTGCACATTGGCGTCGATGTCGATCTTACATCCGGACCGTGATTTTATGTCACCAACAACAGTAAGATAGGGTAAATTGGAGCGGTAATAAAAAAAACGAAAAATGGAATGAAAAAAGAAATAAAAGGACATGGATATTTTTTTTATTCCTTTGTACAATTGTGGCAAAGAAAAAATGTGGGTGTGAGAGATACGAGAAGATACGACTGATTGGTGACAGGATTTCAATGATGTACTTAAGTGAACCAATTTGATTCCATCGAACACCAAATCTCATGACATGATTTCATATATTTGTTCAAATCTCATGACATGATTTTCACGGTGTTTTTTGGTGCACATGCATGAGGTACGAACCGAACACCAAGTGCACATCATTACATTTTGTTTTGCACTTTTTTGACCAGATGTTTCACTTGGTTAATTTCTTTACTGAAATGATTTTCTACGGTGATTTAACTTCAGAGCCGGATAGACGAATCCGAATAGCAAGGATTAAGTTATTCGTTACTTGAATGTTATCATATTGTCGCTTATGACATACGATTATGGACTCTCTTCTCGGCCCTTGTGAATCAATGACCGCACATCGAGACATAATCACATGTGATCCTCACTGAGCTGTGTGCAAAATGTGTACGAATAGTGCAAAACGAAGTTTGGGAACTTGTGACTAGCGCGAGCAGACAAAACAACACCGCTCTCTCCCAAATAGTCCCTCAAAAGTCGTCACAATCACTAGATTTTATAGACATGATTAGTTAATCGTCACGGGCTTGAAAGGTTAATGGGCTCGCATCTGATAAGTGGGCTGGGTTGGGACCAGCCCACATGGTGGACCAAACGGCCACTTCATTAGGCCCAAAACAGCAAAGGAATCAAGTAGAATGAAAACGAGAACAAGTCAAAAAGGAAAGGGAAAATGACATAAACACTCCCTTAACTTTGACTTAATATGCAATGTAATTTCTAAACTTTTAATGTGTTCAATATAGTCCCTGAATTTTAGCTTAATGATAAATGTGGTCCCTGAACTTTTGGTTCATATTCAATGTAGTCCCTTAACATTGAACATTTATATATAGTTCAGAAAATACATTGAACATGAACCAAAAGTTCAAAGATTACGTCGAATATTAGACTAAAGTTTATGGACTTCATTAAACAAATTAAAAGTTCATGAATTACATTACACATTGGATTAAAGTTCAGATATTGTTTATGTCATTATCCCAAAAAGAAATAATCAGTGCAAAACATAAAGAAAGAAATTCATCCAAGAACACGAAAATGGTCAACGAGATAAGAAATTGAGAGAGAGAGAAGGTTATAACTCAAAAAACTTGCTCAGATGGTAAAAGTGTTTACTCTCTTTGCTCAAAGCCTAAGTTCTGAATCACCAGACTTGTACGTTCTCTGCATCCACGATTACAAAGCAATAGTTAACTGATGTGTGCAGCATGGGCAACTAATTGAGTGCTCGAAGAGTCTCGTGCTCCCGCATTAATTTAAAGAAAAAGGTTGCAAATACTAAGTTAGATTTTATATGTTCCTATGAGATTGTTGACGATTAGATTTATATATTTTGGACATGATGGGCCACGGCCCACTCGGGTCGGACGCAATTGAATTTTTTTTTTTGTGGATTTCGGGTCGAAAGTTTATTATAAAGTTTAACATAAAAAGTGTAATATATATTTGAGTCTTGTTAGAGCATGCTCACAAGGCATTTATTAAGTATGCTAATTAAGAAATAAATAACTTAGTTTCAGGTGTTTTTTAGGTCAATAATTTTTCCCTTGTGAGACCAAACGTTGTGACCGACCAAGTTTTTTATTTGATTTCCCAAATAAATGTGACGCTAGTGACTTCGGGGTTGGAGCCGAGTACTTGGGCACGAGAACTAGAGTCTTGAGCCCGGGCACAATGACATAGGCGTAGGAACTGATCCTAAGACCGGGAGTGGGGTACCCAGACATGGCTACCAGGGACCAATGCACAGGGACTGGGGTCTCGAGCACGGGTAGTGGGATCTCGAGCCTAGGGCCCGAGGATCCAGGTACAAGCATCGTGTGACGTCCCAGAACGTCACGCGCGATACGTGTCATTTCTAATTATATTCTTTATTTAGTAATAGCATTCATAAGCTTAATAAAAAAGATTTCCTTCAAAATCTCATACAAGAATATCTCACGAGTTAAATATAGATATTATTTTTATTTATAACAAATACCATTTTTACAACTTTGACACATCAATCAAGCAAAAAATAAAATACAAAAGTCCTGGGAAGATGGTGGGGTCAACTAGCGCCACTAGTCCCACGTTAATCCAAAAGTGAGCCAACATCCAATTCAAAGTTGATGGCCTCAGTCACAATCCCGTCCCTTCATTGTCATGTCTTGGGGAAACATCCTATAAACTGAAAAAAAAAGAAAGAAAAAGGAATGAGCCGAAACCTAGTAAATGAAATCCCTAGTTTTAAGTTAGGAAAATCATCTTATCATTTCACTAATGCATAACAACTAGTATATGCTGAGAACATGAATAAATGATATCCCTTTCCCATTTGGATATGCCACAATAAATTCATTACTTCATTTCTCTATATCATTTCAGTTCAGACGTAAGCATATGGCATAACAT